CTAGGAGATTGAAGATTCTTGTGTTTTCAAGTTTGTTTTTTTCGTTTTATATACCTTGTTTTAACATTTTTTGTTAGGTTACAATAGGAATCCCAAAACAAAATGAAGGTAAAGAGAAAGGTAGGCTAAGTTTGAGATACTAATGGAAAACAGGAGCTGCTAAGCGAAGGCTGTTAGCTGTACGAGCAGTTCATATATTTTGCCTGATAATCATTAAAAGATCAAGTCATCCCTGTCATTATTTTTTTCAATAGACACCCTCTTCTTTTTCCCACTCCTTTTATCTCCCTTCAAATAAAATTATTCTTTTATTTCACAAGAAAGAAAATTATTGCTATTGGGTAAAAAGTAGATCATCTTCACTATCCGGTAGTCTACAAACCTTGTATATCTTTTTTCTAACCCCCCTGCTCCCTCTCTCCCGTATAAAAGCTAAAAATATCTCACTAACATTCAACCGACACCTTTACAGCATACAACATTTCTGCAACAACCAAGGAGTCCCACCAGAATTTGTCAAGAAGTGTCCAGTCATTCTCTTTTAGAAGAACAGGATTTTGTTTCAAACATAGTATAACACGATCAGTATTAAAAAGATTAACCATGCTCACTTTTGCCTCATTATAACATTGTAATTAGTTTTTCAAACATTTAAATAGCACCTAATCATGTGTCGGCCATCACACTTTGTCATCATTACAAATTTCAAATCTCAAATAGCTAGCCTACATTTATAAGTTTGAATTATAACAAGGGGCAGGATAAAACCTACAAATAGGTCACAAGAAAAAAAAACTAATGAATATTGATGGTTTGACAAAATTCTTTGAATCGGAATAAATTAAATAAACCCACAAAAGTAAGAAACAAAATGGAAGTACATACACTATGTATGCCCTTGATATGTTAACATTAAATTATAACATAGATATATGCAGAAAGCATATTAACTTAAAATAGTTTTAATCAAATTTGATCATTCACATTAAGCTAGTGCTCTCACATGATATTTTTGAAGGGCTATAACCAGTGTAAGTAATACGCAATTTCTAAATGAGTAAAAAAGATTCAAATTTTAGTTTTGGAAAACTTCAAGATCTAAATGTGAAATATATGAGCATTGAAACTAATCTATATACAGACCTCCTTTGAAAGAGGGGGCTTTGTAATGCCATAGTAATCAAAAAATATTTGTAGTGTTGAAGACTCCTCCAAAACAGGTTTCCAAGGTGATGGAATCTGCAAAACACCATTTGTCAAGATAGAACATGAACCAATAAAATAAAAAAATCTGTGGTACTACCCAAATATTAAAATTTTAAATAAAGAAAAACAGATACCTGAACTGTGCCAAACTCATCCGAACTTTCATCAACAGATGTCCCCACAAAATCAAATGATAAACATTTCAAAGAAAGAGCAAGTGCCAATTCTTGCATTTGATTGACCACTGCATATTATACAATCTCAAATCTCAACATCATGACAGAAAAAAGTAAGAAACAAGGTACTAAAATAGAGGAGGAAATTAAGAGTATGAGCATTCCACTTTTACCATCATTTTTCAGTTGACCCAATGATGTTAAAGATATCTGGAATATCTGAAAAAGATATTGGTCTCTAAAAGAGCAAGCAACCCTTCGATGAATTGTTGCAGGCATACCAGCATTAGCCTGAGGAAGGATTTAAGATTTAAGAGATCAAAGCACAACAAAAAAACAAGTAGAAGAGATTATGAAACCCGTTCGCCAGATAAAGTTTTTTTTTTTTTTAATTTTATTTTGTTAACATGGACCTGAAAAAAGTATAACTAACATAGATATTCAAATTTCATAAAACTTTGGAATGAGGTAGCACAAATTCCAGTGATGACCTCATGGAGCATGTCTTCACACATGACCACTGCTTTGAACTAGTTAATGAATATGTTACAACATGAAATCTCAATTAGAAGGAAGAAAATCCCATACCCAAGAATTTCCGGGGAATCTCAAGAAATTCCCCCAACCCAAGACACTTACTTTCCCAAACTTCAAAGGATCTTGCACTCATTTTAAATACACTTAAGTAAAAATTCATATTGTTATAAACAAAAAACACATGATCAGTGACAAGAAAATCATTTTCAATATAAAGAAGAACAAGAAGATCATAAAATTATGAATATGAATACTCTAGTAAAGAAAAAAGTACATACAGAAAGCATAAAATGAGAATATTAAGACAGCTGCCTCAACTGACTACTTTAAAATCTGTGTACTATATAATCAAGAAATATTTTATCTGTTTTTTGTGAAACTTCTCCTGTAGAACACCATCCTGTTATGACTCAGCATCCCCCCTCCCCAAAATAAGGCACGGAACCAACATCCCTCCCTCATTTTTACTGTTCATATCATTGGATGGACTCCATAAACAAACAGATACAAGCACAAACCCGTGGCAATAGTATTTTGTAATGTTCCCACTACAGATATTCAAGTAGCAGAAGTTAAACTCTAACCTGATTCATCTCAGAGATAAGCTGACTTAGGATCTTCAAACCAATGGCATAATGACCTGGCGTTGCCTGGATTGGAAAAAATATGATATGAGCAATATGTCCCAGAAACAGAAATCTACTAATTGAGATGGAGGGCAATGCAACAAATTCATATTGCATACTGATTTCTGGTTAACTTAATAGGATTTAAGAAAAAAGTTGCAGAAACCAAAGCAAATTACAAACAGTGCTAAAATTAGTAAGTCAAACATAAAGAGTAATAGCTTATGTACACAGTTACTATACATCTGAGAAGGTGACGAAATCAGAAGTGGGGTTTACTAATTCAAGTAAACTGAGAAACATTTCTTAGTTTAGGAGATATAAACCTACAATTAATTGATGTTCAAAAGAGTATAAGCCACATTCGTGGTTTTAAAATGACGCAACCGCGATTTTGGCCACAATGTGAAGGTGTTTCTTGTTTTACTTGAGTCTTGAAGATCGTCTTTCGATACAAGATACCGTATTGCATGCAAATTAAACAATCGATTTTATCTCACCTGACTCAAGAAGTTCATTGATTCTTTTACCAGGTCCCGGAATCGGTCATCATCAAACCATCCGAACTTTGTAACTCGACATAAAAGTTGGATCAAAGAAGCAGTCACAAATGGCTGTAACTCAGGTCCTCTGGTCGCTAGATAGTTTATGAGGTATGTCCCTAACATGCATTAAAAATAGTTCTATGAATTGCAGCATTTTGAGTCACCCAAGAGGGGAGGAGTGAAATGAAGAGAAACAATACATATATCAAGGCGAAGCTTCAAGGCAAGGCTGTGTTCCGTGACTTGTTTCAACAAACTGGAACTAGCCAGCATCAATGCATAGGGTGTCAAGGCATGATCAAGTATGTATTGGCATTGGGAAATGTATTCAGTGTTCATCGAAAAACATTTCAGTGTGTTCTCCGCGTGAGCACGTTCTACCGAGTCCTGCGAATTGTACAGCCTCTCGCACAATGCTTCTAGTTGTGCCAACTCCATCGCTCATCAAGATTCGCTACACAGAGAGGTCTATAATCTAATATTTCACTCCGGGCGATTATTAGGGTTGCGACGACAGGAACTACGCGGCGGCGATGACGGGAGGAGCCGCCGGCAACCGCGAAAGGACGTGGAAGGTGAAGAGGAGATTAACGAATTGAAATCGGAATAAATGAAGGATTTGATTCTACCACGACTGCTGGACCACGATCACATCGCATTGGCGAAACGAAATGGAAGAAATTCTTGTGATTGATCCATCTAGGTTTTCTCAATCTCTTCCTTTGTTAGGATGATTTTCTTTTTTCTTTTCTTTTCTCTTCTCTCGTTTAAGTTATGCGACAAAAACTGTTGAAATAAATACTTTCCGTTGTTTTTATTCATGCACCGACTCTGTTTTATTTATTTTGCGAAAATATACTGGTTGTAATTGTAACAAAAACAAACTTATTTATTTTCTATTAGATTCGAGAACGGTTGAAAAAACATTTATTACTTCTATATTACAGACTTAAATAGGCAGCTTTTAGGCATTAGCTATTTATTAGCGGAATTTGCATGTTTAAATTACATTAATTTTTAACTAGAGTAAAATAAATAACATTAATAGGATAACAGTATATTCTTATAAAAAAAATATATGTTAAGCATTTGAATGAAATGATTTGGAATTAAGCATTTGAATGAAATACAATGGATGATTATGTTTTTTAATGTTCTATCAGTGGAAACACATTCCAACACTATTATTGGGTGTCCATTTCTTTATAATAATAAAAAATATTATTATTGCTATAATTATTAAAATAAAAATATTACTAAATTATAAAAATAAATATAAATAACTTTTATACTTTTAATTATTGATAGATAGATGTTTTAATCTAAAAGCGGTTTTTTAAAAAATAAAATAGTACATATGTAAACATCAATAAGAATAATTTTTTTTTATTAATGTTATTAATGAAAACTGACGTGCTCATTTGAGAAAACAACATGTTACATAAATATTGCATAAAAACTTTCAATTTTGTTAAAAAATTCTACATATCTGATTCCATAGTTATCATTGTATCTATATTTGTCATTTTATTTTTTTTATAGTATTTCTTTTTTGTCATTTGTTTTTAAAAGCATGTTGGAATATGTATGAAAAAGAAAATTCATGACTTTGATTTAATGTGATATAAAACTATTAAATGTAGTAGAAACATATATTCTTAAAGAAAATAACTACTCATCTTCAATTAACTTAATGTTTGTTGTTAGTCTCACAATAAATATTAATATTCCCATTCCAAATCTTTTAAGTATATTCAATTATCATATATTTGATATTTAAAATTTTGTGTCATGATTTTGTTCTTAAAAATAATAAAGAAATAAATATTTAAATTGACATTAATTTTTAAGTAATGTATAATGGTTGAATGTAACATAATGTAATTGAAATTTATAGATTTTTCTTATCTTTAGCTNAAATCAAATGATAAACATTTCAAAGAAAGAGCAAGTGCCAATTCTTGCATTTGATTGACCACTGCATATTATACAATCTCAAATCTCAACATCATGACAGAAAAAAGTAAGAAACAAGGTACTAAAATAGAGGAGGAAATTAAGAGTATGAGCATTCCACTTTTACCATCATTTTTCAGTTGACCCAATGATGTTAAAGATATCTGGAATATCTGAAAAAGATATTGGTCTCTAAAAGAGCAAGCAACCCTTCGATGAATTGTTGCAGGCATACCAGCATTAGCCTGAGGAAGGATTTAAGATTTAAGAGATCAAAGCACAACAAAAAAACAAGTAGAAGAGATTATGAAACCCGTTCGCCAGATAAAGTTTTTTTTTTTTTTAATTTTATTTTGTTAACATGGACCTGAAAAAAGTATAACTAACATAGATATTCAAATTTCATAAAACTTTGGAATGAGGTAGCACAAATTCCAGTGATGACCTCATGGAGCATGTCTTCACACATGACCACTGCTTTGAACTAGTTAATGAATATGTTACAACATGAAATCTCAATTAGAAGGAAGAAAATCCCATACCCAAGAATTTCCGGGGAATCTCAAGAAATTCCCCCAACCCAAGACACTTACTTTCCCAAACTTCAAAGGATCTTGCACTCATTTTAAATACACTTAAGTAAAAATTCATATTGTTATAAACAAAAAACACATGATCAGTGACAAGAAAATCATTTTCAATATAAAGAAGAACAAGAAGATCATAAAATTATGAATATGAATACTCTAGTAAAGAAAAAAATACATACAGAAAGCATAAAATGAGAATATTAAGACAGCTGCCTCAACTGACTACTTTAAAATCTGTGTACTATATAATCAAGAAATATTTTATCTGTTTTTTGTGAAACTTCTCCTGTAGAACACCATCCTGTTATGACTCAGCATCCCCCCTCCCCAAAATAAGGCACGGAACCAACATCCCTCCCTCATTTTTACTGTTCATATCATTGGATGGACTCCATAAACAAACAGATACAAGCACAAACCCGTGGCAATAGTATTTTGTAATGTTCCCACTACAGATATTCAAGTAGCAGAAGTTAAACTCTAACCTGATTCATCTCAGAGATAAGCTGACTTAGGATCTTCAAACCAATGGCATAATGACCTGGCGTTGCCTGGATTGGAAAAAATATGATATGAGCAATATGTCCCAGAAACAGAAATCTACTAATTGAGATGGAGGGCAATGCAACAAATTCATATTGCATACTGATTTCTGGTTAACTTAATAGGATTTAAGAAAAAAGTTGCAGAAACCAAAGCAAATTACAAACAGTGCTAAAATTAGTAAGTCAAACATAAAGAGTAATAGCTTATGTACACAGTTACTATACATCTGAGAAGGTGACGAAATCAGAAGTGGGGTTTACTAATTCAAGTAAACTGAGAAACATTTCTTAGTTTAGGAGATATAAACCTACAATTAATTGATGTTCAAAAGAGTATAAGCCACATTCGTGGTTTTAAAATGACGCAACCGCGATTTTGGCCACAATGTGAAGGTGTTTCTTGTTTTACTTGAGTCTTGAAGATCGTCTTTCGATACAAGATACCGTATTGCATGCAAATTAAACAATCGATTTTATCTCACCTGACTCAAGAAGTTCATTGATTCTTTTACCAGGTCCCGGAATCGGTCATCATCAAACCATCCGAACTTTGTAACTCGACATAAAAGTTGGATCAAAGAAGCAGTCACAAATGGCTGTAACTCAGGTCCTCTGGTCGCTAGATAGTTTATGAGGTATGTCCCTAACATGCATTAAAAATAGTTCTATGAATTGCAGCATTTTGAGTCACCCAAGAGGGGAGGAGTGAAATGAAGAGAAACAATACATATATCAAGGCGAAGCTTCAAGGCAAGGCTGTGTTCCGTGACTTGTTTCAACAAACTGGAACTAGCCAGCATCAATGCATAGGGTGTCAAGGCATGATCAAGTATGTATTGGCATTGGGAAATGTATTCAGTGTTCATCGAAAAACATTTCAGTGTGTTCTCCGCGTGAGCACGTTCTACCGAGTCCTGCGAATTGTACAGCCTCTCGCACAATGCTTCTAGTTGTGCCAACTCCATCGCTCATCAAGATTCGCTACACAGAGAGGTCTATAATCTAATATTTCACTCCGGGCGATTATTAGGGTTGCGACGACAGGAACTACGCGGCGGCGATGACGGGAGGAGCCGCCGGCAACCGCGAAAGGACGTGGAAGGTGAAGAGGAGATTAACGAATTGAAATCGGAATAAATGAAGGATTTGATTCTACCACGACTGCTGGACCACGATCACATCGCATTGGCGAAACGAAATGGAAGAAATTCTTGTGATTGATCCATCTAGGTTTTCTCAATCTCTTCCTTTGTTAGGATGATTTTCTTTTTTCTTTTCTTTTCTCTTCTCTCGTTTAAGTTATGCGACAAAAACTGTTGAAATAAATACTTTCCGTTGTTTTTATTCATGCACCGACTCTGTTTTATTTATTTTGCGAAAATATACTGGTTGTAATTGTAACAAAAACAAACTTATTTATTTTCTATTAGATTCGAGAACGGTTGAAAAAACATTTATTACTTCTATATTACAGACTTAAATAGGCAGCTTTTAGGCATTAGCTATTTATTAGCGGAATTTGCATGTTTAAATTACATTAATTTTTAACTAGAGTAAAATAAATAACATTAATAGGATAACAGTATATTCTTATAAAAAAAATATATGTTAAGCATTTGAATGAAATGATTTGGAATTAAGCATTTGAATGAAATACAATGGATGATTATGTTTTTTAATGTTCTATCAGTGGAAACACATTCCAACACTATTATTGGGTGTCCATTTCTTTATAATAATAAAAAATATTATTATTGCTATAATTATTAAAATAAAAATATTACTAAATTATAAAAATAAATATAAATAACTTTTATACTTTTAATTATTGATAGATAGATGTTTTAATCTAAAAGCGGTTTTTTAAAAAATAAAATAGTACATATGTAAACATCAATAAGAATAATTTTTTTTTATTAATGTTATTAATGAAAACTGACGTGCTCATTTGAGAAAACAACATGTTACATAAATATTGCATAAAAACTTTCAATTTTGTTAAAAAATTCTACATATCTGATTCCATAGTTATCATTGTATCTATATTTGTCATTTTATTTTTTTTATAGTATTTCTTTTTTGTCATTTGTTTTTAAAAGCATGTTGGAATATGTATGAAAAAGAAAATTCATGACTTTGATTTAATGTGATATAAAACTATTAAATGTAGTAGAAACATATATTCTTAAAGAAAATAACTACTCATCTTCAATTAACTTAATGTTTGTTGTTAGTCTCACAATAAATATTAATATTCCCATTCCAAATCTTTTAAGTATATTCAATTATCATATATTTGATATTTAAAATTTTGTGTCATGATTTTGTTCTTAAAAATAATAAAGAAATAAATATTTAAATTGACATTAATTTTTAAGTAATGTATAATGGTTGAATGTAACATAATGTAATTGAAATTTATAGATTTTTCTTATCTTTAGCTTTGCAATTTTTGATGCACGTATTTGATTGTTTTTATTTTTTTCATAATTATTTGTCTTTTTAATAGTTACAAAATCATAATTTTTTTGATATTTGACATTAAAAAATAAATATTTTACATTAAATACTTTATAATGTTATGATAAAGATATATATTTTTTTATAAAATTATTTAATTAATATTTAAAATAATAAATTAGTAAATACATATATTTATTCATTTTCGATGAGAAGAGATGAAATGATTTTTTTATATATGTCAGGTATAAAGACATGCTTATAATAGATAATGTTTTTTAATAATGGGTAATTTAAATCAAACACGTCTTTCAGCATTAAAAAAAATAAAGTATATATGTTTATTATCAAACCAAAAATACAAGACATTAATGTTGCTGTTTATGACAGTTAAGTGAATATCATTTTATGTTTTTTTTTTTCAACGAACTCACATTTTATGTTTTATTTTCCAACAAACTCTATTAAACACACAAAGGGGATGACAGTTGAGAAAAACCGAAGGTTAGGCCCACCAGTTACTAAGATGAATAGATAAACAATAAATAGTTCCATTCAGTCGTTATATGAATTTAAAGGTCCAAATTAGGTATAAATAGGTTTTAATATTTTAAATATCTTTGCATGGACCATTGCGTGTATCAATAAGCTATGTAAAGTTGCAAAAAAAAAAATTATTCCATTAGAGAGTATGTATATACGTATTAAATCAACAATCAGATTAATTGAAAGGAAACATTATTTTTTTCTCACATAAAATTTAATATGTATAATATTAATAATTTTTTTTGTGTATACAAGTTTTTATCAATTTATTATGGAACTCAAATAATCATATGCAATAAAAAAAATACCTATAAAATAAATAAAAACTACTTATAACAAAATTACAAAAATGATTTTGTATTTATTTTTAAAATTACCTTTTATGAAATATCATTTGATACTGGTTAAAAAAGATATTGTTGTTTTTTTGGGTTAAAATATTTCATATTCTTTGAATTTTAAAACATTTGTTCGAATTAAACGAGCAAACTCTGCAGAATGCAGACTTGTCAAAATTAAAGAGGTTTCTTCGAAAATAAACTTATGGAACTCTTAATTTTCATTTTTTTTAATTTTCTCAAACATAAAAATGCTTAGAATTTTTAAATTAAATGTTTAGAGATTAAAATTATAATTAAATTAGGAAGCATCTAAAAATGGTCGTTTTTGGCGCGCGAGAGTCTAGAAGACAAGACTTTGACACAATACATAAACTCATGGAATTTCATCACAACCCAACCTATTCAAAAATCAATACACGTAATTATGGAATTTAATTTGGTCAAACAAAGAATGTCCAAAACTTTCTTACGAACGGACCAATCAATAAATAGATGTTTCCTTCGTGATGATTATCGTTGTTTTGTGGTTCTTACACGCTCCTGCACAGTAGTTTTCTTTTTTGTTTAGCAGATGGCATCAAACTGTGCCAATCGCTCTAATCCTTACCATCAATGCACCCAAGCTTGCTCTCAGTCCACCAACCAAACCAAGATCACCACACACACAAACAAAAACAAGATTAATTCAGGTTAATTACTTTTCTTTTTCTTCTGCTCTTATGCATCATAACTGCATCTGTTAAATTTAGTTTTGCACAGATGCTAATATCTCAAACCTTGTAAATTTTGACAATCCTAAGGTTATGGTCGAAGTGTGACAGACGGTCAGCTTGGCAAAAAGGTTGATAAGCAAAAACGAATTTACTCAGCTTGTCCTAAAGCATCTAATCCTTACCACGAGTGTGATGACAATTGTTACAAAAGATTATCCGATTCAGGTACCCTCTTTCGCTCTCAGCTTCAAACTTATAAATAGATTACTAAGTTTACTTATAAATTTAAAAAGTGTTCAATTTATTAGAAAATTCATGATATGACAGAAAAAATATGAAACTAGTTGTATAGGGTAATTTTAGAGGTACAGTTTGTGCTTGACTTGATGAAGATCTCTCACATGGCGATGAATGATATGTTTGTGATTGTTGTCCATTTGTGATTGCATTTGCAGGAGCCCCTCATCCGTTAAAGTTAGACAGGAAAAGCAAGCTGGGTTCTAAACCAGAACCCCCCGTTCTTGACACTGTTCCTGCCTCAAAAGTTGGAGCAATTTACCTATCCGAGAAGAAAAAGGTTTTGACAGAGAAAAACGAGCACGTTCTATCTGAGCCAATTTCTGGACAGAAACAAGATCCAGTTGTAAAGGTAGTGGTCACTCTTTTGTCCCATTTCATGCCTTGTAATCTTTGAGCAAAGAAAGAGCGACACAAACTCATGTCATGTCTTGCATGTGCTTCTTTTGCAGCCTTCCTATCTCAAAGACCAACCAAGGGATCATGTTGCCAACTCGATGACAACAACTCACGACGAAAAGAAAACATCTCGTAAAGTTGTTGCAGTAACCCATCATGTTGATCACACCGAAGAATTGGGTCTTAGTATTTCAGCTGGCGGATCCGTAGGTTCTAGTTTTTCTGGTATTCCACGTGGAAATGAAGCAAATTTAAACGATGAAGCAGAGACGGAGTCCGTGAGTTCAGAACCCCGTCTTCAAGTTGGAAGATACAAAGTAAAAGAAAGTTTTGTTTCCATTCTGCAATCTATCTTTGACAGGTACGGGGACATAGGAGCCAGTTGTCACTTGGAATCAGTCGTGATGCGCTCTTACTACGTTGAGTGTGTGTGTTTTGTGGTGCAAGAGTTACACTCCTCCTCATTGATTCAACTGAGCAGCTCCAAAGTGAAGGAATTGTTGGCCATTCTTAAGGATGTGGAATCTGCTGAACTTGACGTTGCATGGTTGCGTAGCGCCCTCGACGAACTGGCTGAAAATATTGAACTCATTAATAAGCAGCAGGTGGTAGAGGCAGAAAAGGATTACTCTGGTCACGAAGTGGAGACAGTTAAAGAAGAACTACGACAAGAGTTGGAAAGTTTGGCTCAGAAAGAACAAGAGGTTGCTGATATCAAAGCACGAATTCCTGAGATGAGAGGTCGTTTGAGAGAGCTCGAACTCAAGTCAGAAGAACTTAACAAAAGCATGCTATCTATCAAATCCAACGTTGATAATTTGGCCATTAAATCGTTGGTAGATGAACTGTTATGTTAAGAAATTTGTTTCTTAATGAGTTTTTCAATGCTTAAAGGTTGAATAGGTTGCTGAATAAATGCATGAAGAGCAATGTTTTCTTGTTTAGTTACTAATTATATGAACACATACTCCTGACACACGGTATTACAGAGATGAACCCTCTCCACTGGGTTTGAACTTTAATTACTTGTTNTCTTTCAGCATTAAAAAAAATAAAGTATATATGTTTATTATCAAACCAAAAATACAAGACATTAATGTTGCTGTTTATGACAGTTAAGTGAATATCATTTTATGTTTTTTTTTTTCAACGAACTCACATTTTATGTTTTATTTTCCAACAAACTCTATTAAACACACAAAGGGGATGACAGTTGAGAAAAACCGAAGGTTAGGCCCACCAGTTACTAAGATGAATAGATAAACAATAAATAGTTCCATTCAGTCGTTATATGAATTTAAAGGTCCAAATTAGGTATAAATAGGTTTTAATATTTTAAATATCTTTGCATGGACCATTGCGTGTATCAATAAGCTATGTAAAGTTGCAAAAAAAAAAATTATTCCATTAGAGAGTATGTATATACGTATTAAATCAACAATCAGATTAATTGAAAGGAAACATTATTTTTTTCTCACATAAAATTTAATATGTATAATATTAATAATTTTTTTTGTGTATACAAGTTTTTATCAATTTATTATGGAACTCAAATAATCATATGCAATAAAAAAAATACCTATAAAATAAATAAAAACTACTTATAACAAAATTACAAAAATGATTTTGTATTTATTTTTAAAATTACCTTTTATGAAATATCATTTGATACTGGTTAAAAAAGATATTGTTGTTTTTTTGGGTTAAAATATTTCATATTCTTTGAATTTTAAAACATTTGTTCGAATTAAACGAGCAAACTCTGCAGAATGCAGACTTGTCAAAATTAAAGAGGTTTCTTCGAAAATAAACTTATGGAACTCTTAATTTTCATTTTTTTTAATTTTCTCAAACATAAAAATGCTTAGAATTTTTAAATTAAATGTTTAGAGATTAAAATTATAATTAAATTAGGAAGCATCTAAAAATGGTCGTTTTTGGCGCGCGAGAGTCTAGAAGACAAGACTTTGACACAATACATAAACTCATGGAATTTCATCACAACCCAACCTATTCAAAAATCAATACACGTAATTATGGAATTTAATTTGGTCAAACAAAGAATGTCCAAAACTTTCTTACGAACGGACCAATCAATAAATAGATGTTTCCTTCGTGATGATTATCGTTGTTTTGTGGTTCTTACACGCTCCTGCACAGTAGTTTTCTTTTTTGTTTAGCAGATGGCATCAAACTGTGCCAATCGCTCTAATCCTTACCATCAATGCACCCAAGCTTACTCTCAGTCCACCAACCAAACCAAGATCACCACACACACAAACAAAAACAAGATTAATTCAGGTTAATTACTTTTCTTTTTCTTCTGCTCTTATGCATCATAACTGCATCTGTTAAATTTAGTTTTGCACAGATGCTAATATCTCAAACCTTGTAAATTTTGACAATCCTAAGGTTATGGTCGAAGTGTGACAGACGGTCAGCTTGGCAAAAAGGTTGATAAGCAAAAACGAATTTACTCAGCTTGTCCTAAAGCATCTAATCCTTACCACGAGTGTGATGACAATTGTTACAAAAGATTATCCGATTCAGGTACCCTCTTTCGCTCTCAGCTTCAAACTTATAAATAGATTACTAAGTTTACTTATAAATTTAAAAAGTGTTCAATTTATTAGAAAATTCATGATATGACAGAAAAAATATGAAACTAGTTGTATAGGGTAATTTTAGAGGTACAGTTTGTGCTTGACTTGATGAAGATCTCTCACATGGCGATGAATGATATGTTTGTGATTGTTGTCCATTTGTGATTGCATTTGCAGGAGCCCCTCATCCGTTAAAGTTAGACAGGAAAAGCAAGCTGGGTTCTAAACCAGAACCCCCCGTTCTTGACACTGTTCCTGCCTCAAAAGTTGGAGCAATTTACCTATCCGAGAAGAAAAAGGTTTTGACAGAGAAAAACGAGCACGTTCTATCTGAGCCAATTTCTGGACAGAAACAAGATCCAGTTGTAAAGGTAGTGGTCACTCTTTTGTCCCATTTCATGCCTTGTAATCTTTGAGCAAAGAAAGAGCGACACAAACTCATGTCATGTCTTGCATGTGCTTCTTTTGCAGCCTTCCTATCTCAAAGACCAACCAAGGGATCATGTTGCCAACTCGATGACAACAACTCACGACGAAAAGAAAACATCTCGTAAAGTTGTTGCAGTAACCCATCATGTTGATCACACCGAAGAATTGGGTCTTAGTATTTCAGCTGGCGGATCCGTAGGTTCTAGTTTTTCTGGTATTCCACGTGGAAATGAAGCAAATTTAAACGATGAAGCAGAGACGGAGTCCGTGAGTTCAGAACCCCGTCTTCAAGTTGGAAGATACAAAGTAAAAGAAAGTTTTGTTTCCATTCTGCAATCTATCTTTGACAGGTACGGGGACATAGGAGCAAGTTGTCACTTGGAATCAGTCGTGATGCGATCATACTACGTTGAGTGTGTGTGTTTTGTGGTGCAAGAGTTACACTCCTCCTCATTAATTCAACTGAGCAGCTCCAAAGTGAAGGAATTGTTGGCCATTCTTAAGGATGTGGAATCTGCTGAACTTGACGTTGCATGGTTGCGTAGCGCCCTCGACGAACTGGCTGAAAATATTGAACTCATTAATAAGCAGCAGGTGGTAGAGGCAGAAAAGGATTACTCTGGTCACGAAGTGGAGACAGTTAAAGAAGAACTACGACAAGAGTTGGAAAGTTTGGCTCAGAAAGAACAAGAGGTTGCTGATATCAAAGCACGAATTCCTGAGATGAGAGGTCGTTTGAGAGAGCTCGAACTCAAGTCAGAAGAACTTAACAAAAGCATGCTATCTATCAAATCCAACGTTGATAATTTGGCCATTAAATCGTTGGTAGATGAACTGTTATGTTAAGAAATTTGTTTCTTAATGAGTTTTTCAATGCTTAAAGGTTGAATAGGTTGCTGAATAAATGCATGAAGAGCAATGTTTTCTTGTTTAGTTACTAATTATATGAACACATACTCCTGACACACGGTATTACAGAGATGAACCCTCTCCACTGGGTTTGAACTTTAATTACTTGTTTCTATTTATGCCAACGATAGTGCTGTTGATCATCAGTTTTAATTTTGCATCTCTGCATACATATTTTAGTCCTGTAAATTTATGCATGTCTTTTTCCTTTATTCTTAATTCGTAATCACAAAATGCTAATGCCTAGCGATTCCTCGAAACATATTTATTTTACGTCATTTCTCTTTAACTATTGGCCCTTGAAACTGTGCTGTGCCGTGATAGAAGAAATCCTCCTTACAAAAGGAACAATAGAAACACATAATGAAAGAAAATGCACAATATGCTCAAAAACAGATAACCAAGAGGAAAGCTTTAGAAACAGAGTAATATCTACAGATTTAGAAAAGCAGAGGGAGGAAACTTTAGAGGCTTGAAGGAAGGAAGTGTTTGAAATTTGGGAGAGGTTGAAAGATTTTGACAGAAGGAAAGACTCAAAATCAATTTACATTTCAACACCCCCTCTTAAACTTGATTTTGTACTCCAAGCAAATTTCTCAACTTCATAAATACTTCTTTCTTCAACGGTTTGGTGAAGATATATGCTACCTGATCATGCGTCTTCACATATTCCATTTGCACATCTTGTTGTTGATGCATTCTCTAATGTAATGATAACGAGTGTGGATGTGCTTACTTCGATCATGGAAGACTGGGTTTTTTTGCTAATGTTATTGTCGACTTGTCCACGAAAATCTTTGTTGGCTCCACTTGTTGCAAGCTTAACTCCTTCAATAGGTTTCGTAACCAAACAACATGGGAAACGCATGAAGTTGCAGCTACATACTCTGCTTCACATGTAGACAGAGTGACAATAGGTTGCTTCTTGGACATCCAAGTAAAGGTTGTGTCTCCCATGTAAAACACAAATCCACTTGTGCTCTTTCGGTCATCCATATCTCCACTCCAATCGCTATCAATATATCCAACAAGCTTGTAATCATTAGAAATAGAGTAGTATAGGCCAAAGCTTGTAGTACCTTTGATATATCGAAGAATCCTCTTCGCAGACTTAAAGTGAGTAGTTGTTGGAGCTTCCATGTATCGACTTACGACTCCAACGACATAGAGAATGTTTGGTCTTGTACAAGTTAAATAACGCAAACTTCCAACAAGACTTTTATAGAGGGTTGGGTCCATTTTTTCTCCCTCTTCATCCTTACTCAACTTAATGTCGCATTACATAGGAGTACCAACTGGATTAGCATCATCCATCTTGAACTTCTTGAGGAGGTCTTTGGCATAACTTTCTTGAGTAATAAAAATTCCTTCATTTCTTTGCTTTACTTCAATTCCGAGATAATATGCCATAAGCCCCATGTTGGTCACTTCAAATTCCTTGGTCATATCCTTCTTGAATTCCTTAAACATGCTTGGATTGTTCCCTGTAAAAATTAAGTCATCGACATAGAAGCATACAATCAAAATATCTTTACCTTGAGCTTTGATATAGAGTGCATGCTCATATGGGCACTTGATGAAATTCGCTTCTCTGAAGTACTTGTCAATTCGAACATTCCAAGCTCTAGGGACTTGTTTCAATCCATAAAGGGTCTTCTTTAATTTCAAGACTTTATCTTCTTCTCCCTTGACTTCATATCCTTGTGGCTGCTCAATGTAGACTTCTTCTTCAAGAACTCCATTTAAGAAGCCAGATTTGACATCCATTTGATGTATCTTTCAATTATTCTGAGCTGCTAATGATATAATAAGTCTAACAGTTTCTAGTCGAGCAACTGGAGCAAATACGTCGTCATAATCGATGCTAGCCCTTTTACTGTAGCCTTTTGCCACCAATCTTGCTTTGTATCTCTAAACTTCTCCTTTGGAGTCCTTCTTTGCTTTGTAGACCCACTTGACACCAATTGTTTTGTGCCCTTTTGGAAGCGAGACTAGCTCCCAAGTATCATTCTTCTTTATTGCCTTGATCTCTTCATCCATCGCATTTCTCCAATTCTTCTTTTCAATTGCTTCTTGGAAGTTCATGGGCTCAGAGTCTGCAAATAGACAGAATAAGGTAACATTGTCTAGATTTTCAGTTACCTCATAGATTTCTTGGAGACTTCGAAAATGTGGCGTTCTTTCACTTGAGCTTTCATCATCTTGAAGGGTTGTATTTGGTGAAGTGGGTGGAGTAGCAAGCGCCTTTTTCGATTGTTGTTGTTGTTCCACGTCATCTTCTTCAACGCACGGGAAAAAAGTATGGTCCTTACAGTTTGTCGACCAATCCCATTCTCCTTCTTCATCAAACACTACATTCCGACTGATGACTGTTTTCCTTGTATTAGGATTGTAGAGTTTGTACCCTTTAGAGTTGGCGTCGTAACCAATGAAGATGTATTTTTCACTTTTGTCGTCAAGCTTACTTCGTTTCTCATCTGGTACATGCACATGAGCTATGCTTCCAAAGACTCTAAGATGAGATATACCTTGCTTTCTTCCGTTCCATGATTCTTGTGGTGTTTCTCCACTAACGCTTCTTGTTGGAGAGCGGTTGGTTAGATAGACTGCACATGCAACGACTTCAGCCCAAAACTTCTTTGGAAGTCTCTTGTTTTTAAGCATGCTTGTTGCCATCTCTAGGATTGTTCTGTTCTTCCTTTTCGCCACTCCATTTTGTTGAGAGGATCTTAGCACTGTCAACTGTCGTCTGATTCCATTATCTTCACAATACTTCTTAAACTCTTTTGATGTGAACTCTCCTCCATGATCGGATCTCAAAGCTTTGATCATAAGGCCACTTTCATTCTCAACATGGGCTTTAAACTTTTTGAAGTTCTCGAACACTTCTGATTTTTCTTTTAAGAAATATACCTATGTTTTTCTTGAAAAATTATCAATGAAGAGAAGGAAATAATTAATCTTACCGAGTGATCTTGGCTTGATTGGCCCGCACACATCCATGTGTATGAGTTCTAATGGCTTTTGAGCTCTTGAGTCCGACTCATTTGAGAAACTCAATCGAAATTGTTTTCCAAGTAGACATCCTTCACAAACTTGGTTGGAGTGAGTAATATAAGACAGTCCTCTCACCATTGCCTTCTTGGAGAGCAACTCTAATCCTTTAACATTAAGATGGCCAAATCGAATATACCAAAGCCATGATTGGTCTTTGTAGCACATCTTGAGACATTGTGGGCCATCACTTTGAATGTTGAGCACAAACATTCTATTTCTTGTCATTGACACCTTTGCAATGAATCTACTTGTATTATCTCTTATCGAAAGGTTATTATTCTTAAGTTGAATATCATAACCTTTCTCTAAGAGTTGTCCTAAGCTTAAGATGTTGCTCTTCATGCTTGGCACATAATATACGTTGGAAATAAATTGATATTCTTCATTCTTTAGTCGGATGAGGACATTACCTTTTCCTTTCACCGCCACCTTTGATTCATCTTCAAAAGCCACGTTTCCCTTTACTGATTCATCAAGCTCCACAAACATGCTTCTTTTCCCATACATATGGTTACTTGCTCCACTGTCAAGGTACCAATGATTATCCTCGCCTCTATCTTGGCCCTTGTAAGCTAATAACAAGGTACCATCTTCTTGACATCTTTCTTCAGCATAATTGGCTTTCTCTTCGACTTTATTTTTATGAGGAGCTCTACATTCAGAAGCATAATGTCCAAACTTATCACAATTGTAACACTTGATTCGTGTCTTGTCATACCTTGAATTCGGATTTCCTCTCCCACAACATCTATTAGAGCTTTCTCCTCTTTGGTTATTGTTGTTAGGCCTTCGTCCTTATCCAAGTCCATATGCACGCCCTCGTCCTTGTTCTTGACTATAACTTCACCTTGATTGGTTGTGTGCATTTTCTTCTTTTTTTGAATCAACGTGCCTTGAGGGCTTACTCCACGATCTCTTCCTTCTTCTTTTTCTTTTCTTTTCTTCATAAGTTTGCAACAAGCCAAGAAGTTGCTATATTGACATGGCCTCTAAGTCTTTTGTTTCTTCAATAATGGTGACAATATGTTCGAACTTTGGATCCAATGATCTGAGAATTTTCTCCATAATTCTTACACCATCTAGCTTCTCACCGTTTCTTTTTAGGTTATTGGTAACCGTTAAAACTCTTGAAAAGTAATCGGAGACTAGTTCACCTTCCTTCTTATGCAAAGCTTCAAACTCTCCTCTCAAAGTTTGAAGACGTACCTTTTTTACTTGATCTGCTCCCTTGTAAGAGATCTTAAGCTTCTCCCATGCTTCCTTGGCTAACTTGACTCCAGAAATCTTCTTAGAAGTATCTTCATATAGTCCTTGATAGATTAGACAGAGAGCCTTCTTGTCTCTCTTCCTTGAGTCTCTCAAGTTATCCTTTTGAGCTTGAGAAAGACTCTTTACATTCTCTGGCTCGGTGTGGCCCTTCTTGACCACCTCCCAGACATCATGTGCATCAAGGAGAGCAATCATCCTTAAGCTCCAATTGTCATAGTTGCTCTTAGAGCATCGAGACTTGAAAGGGAACTCCAGTATTTGCCATTTCTATGAAGATCTTATGGCTCTTGATACCACTTTGTTGGAAGGAAACTTTAGAGGCCTGAAGGAAATGTTTGAAATTGGGGAGGTTGGAAGATTTTGAGAGAAGGAAAGACTTGTTGTATTCAATGCTTCTAATCTTTTTTTGGCTTGCATACAAATGATACAATCATCCCCTATTTATACTAGTGGCACCTCCTTAATCAACGGTTAAGATCTTGCCACCACAAAACTCATCTAAGGGTTATAATTCATTCTCTAGAACTTTCTAAAACATTCCTATAATTCTAAATTTATTTAGATACATCCTATGAATAATCATCCTTGAATATTTTTGTAGATCATTCTAGAATCCTTCTAGATAAGATTTTCTAGAATTCTATTTGGACATTTTCTATTATTGGACTTTTATCTTTTAAGCCCAAAACACAAAATTAATTTACATTTCAACCTATCGAATTCCATAAAAGTTTGAGCTCAAAACAAAGCTCTAAAATTAACAACTTAAACACCGTCACACTTCTCAAAAGTGATTCCAAAAGCAATGATTTAGGAGAAGAATAAGATTCTATATTACTATTCAAGCGTAACCATAAGCCTTTCTGTGGATAAATTCACCAATATTTTTTCTAAAAAATCAAATAATAATTTTCAATTAGTTGAGAATGATTGGGTAAGTTACAAAAATAAACTCTTTCTGAAAAAAAAAACAAATATTTAATGCCCGTTATCAGATTTTAAACGGGGGAAATTGGTGGGCCGTTTATACTAATTAATCATATGAATTCATTTTTTTAGAGTTTAAAAATTGATGACATATTAAAAAGGCAAGCCAAATTAAGACATGAACAAAATAAATACATAATAAATCTAACACCAAATGTCGATAATCTTTGATGAAAAATATAGCGATTTTTAGTTAAATAAGTTTGAATAATGCATTAGTTATTGCAATCATTTCAGTTATACTGTATCCCTTCTTTTTGTTGGTGCAAGAGCAGGCAGACTAGGTGGAGGGCACGTGATGTTGTGAGAAGAGAAGGTGTTTTTCGGCTTTATCTTTCAAAAGCTGTCAACACTTTCCATGTGTACCCCATTTCTACCATCACCATACCCTAAAAATCAAAGTGCGTGCCATCTCACTCTTCTGCCCTACACTTTAACTTTACATTTAGAAAAATCGTATTTAAATTTATTACATTATGATGTTGTTAAACTTTATAGTATAGAGCACAAATTCATTGGATGCGATCCACTTGAAATCCCATTACATTACGAAGCAGACAAAGTACGAGAGACAAGAACGAGGTAAAAAAGGAACAACAAATTTATGTTGCAAAAGACTATACTCATCCCATGCCATGCACGGTGGGTAAAGAAAACAGGGGAAATATAAATTTAAAATTAAATAACGGTCATAATATGATCTCATCTCATACAAACAAACAAACGAAAGAAATAGTAACAATAATAAAAATAAATAAATAGTAAATTACAAAGGAAAAGACGAATGGGTCATCATCATCACATACACACACATCAACTGAATAACAAATCATGAATGCAAACACGAATTAAGCTTCCTCTACACTATCTCTCTCCCTCTCCTCTTCTCCGTCAACAGCTAGTTCGTGGGGTTGCTCCGGAACGACCCCAACGCCTTGATAGCCGCTGCTCTCAGTATGTACTGGTGGTATGCCGCCGCCGCCAACGCTCCCACGAACGGTCCAACCCAAAAGATCCACTGCAACCAAACACACCACACATTATCAGTTACAAATCAAAATACCACAACCATGCATACACGTCGGGCTAGATTCTCACATGGTCATCCCAAACTTTGCCATTGTTGTAGATGACAGCAGCTCCGAAGCTCCTGGCCGGGTTAATCCCGGTACCGGTAATGGGTATGGTAGCCAAGTGAACCATGAAAACGGCGAACCCAATGGGCAACGGAGCCAACACCTGCACAACACATTCATTTATTACTAAAAAACCAACACAGACTCATGGTCCGTGAGTGTGGAAAGAGAAAAGAGTGAAGAAGAACGTACGGGGACATGAGAGTCACGCGCGCTTCTCTTGGGGTCGGTGGCAGAGAAAACGGTGTAGACAAGCACAAATGTGCCGATAATCTCGGCACCGAGAGCAGTGCCTTTGGAGTAGCCAGAACTGACGGAGTTGGCACCGCCGCCGAGGGAGTTGTAGGGATGCTTCATGAAGGCCTTCACCAACCCGACGCCGCTGATAGCACCGAGGCACTGTGCTACAATGTAGAGAACGGCACGGATCAACGAGACCTTGCGCGCCAGGAAGAGGCCAAAAGTGACCGCTGGGTTTATGTGTCCACCTGTGTTTGCGTTGATAAGAAGTCAGAAAGCGTAGAAGAGAAAAAAACAAAAAAGAAAGGCAAGCGGTGGGTTGGGTCAGGGTAAGGGAAGGTGTTTACCGGAAATGCCGGCGGTGCAGTAAACGAGAACGAAGATCATGCCACCGAAGGCCCAGGCTATGCCGAGAAGGCCAACGCCGTCACAAGGACCGGTCTGTTTCTTGTGACCGATGACGGTGGCGACGGTGACATAGAGGAAGAGGAGGGTGGCGATGAACTCGGCGATGAGGGCTCTGTAGAAGGACCAGAGCTTGATCTCGGCGAGGTCGATGAGAGGGGCGGGAGGAGGGTCGTAGTAGTCCTTCCTTTGTTGACCCTCTTCGGTGAGTTCTTTGGACATTGTGTCTGTGTGAGAGAGAGAGAGAGAGAGAGAGAGAGAAGAAAGAGCAGAGTGTGTTATGTGAAAAGATAGGAAGAGAAAGAAGAAGAAGAGTAAGGGTAAGGTTGGGTTGGTGGGTTATAAGGAAAAGAGAGAGGGGTAATTTGGTAATATTGTAATAAATAGAAGGAAGAAGAAAAAGGAAGAGATGGAAAGAGGGTGNACATCATGTGCATCAAGGAGAGCAATCATCCTTAAGCTCCAATTGTCATAGTTGCTCTTAGAGCATCGAGACTTGAAAGGGAACTCCAGTATTTGCCATTTCTATGAAGATCTTATGGCTCTTGATACCACTTTGTTGGAAGGAAACTTTAGAGGCCTGAAGGAAATGTTTGAAATTGGGGAGGTTGGAAGATTTTGAGAGAAGGAAAGACTTGTTGTATTCAATGCTTCTAATCTTTTTTTGGCTTGCATACAAATGATACAATCATCCCCTATTTATACTAGTGGCACCTCCTTAATCAACGGTTAAGATCTTGCCACCACAAAACTCATCTAAGGGTTATAATTCATTCTCTAGAACTTTCTAAAACATTCCTATAATTCTAAATTTATTTAGATACATCCTATGAATAATCATCCTTGAATATTTTTGTAGATCATTCTAGAATCCTTCTAGATAAGATTTTCTAGAATTCTATTTGGACATTTTCTATTATTGGACTTTTATCTTTTAAGCCCAAAACACAAAATTAATTTACATTTCAACCTATCGAATTCCATAAAAGTTTGAGCTCAAAACAAAGCTCTAAAATTAACAACTTAAACACCGTCACACTTCTCAAAAGTGATTCCAAAAGCAATGATTTAGGAGAAGAATAAGATTCTATATTACTATTCAAGCGTAACCATAAGCCTTTCTGTGGATAAATTCACCAATATTTTTTCTAAAAAATCAAATAATAATTTTCAATTAGTTGAGAATGATTGGGTAAGTTACAAAAATAAACTCTTTCTGAAAAAAAAAACAAATATTTAATGCCCGTTATCAGATTTTAAACGGGGGAAATTGGTGGGCCGTTTATACTAATTAATCATATGAATTCACTTTTTTAGAGTTTAAAAATTGATGACATTAAAAAGCAAGCCAAATTAAGACACGAACAAAATAAATACATAATAAATCTGGACCAGTCAGATTTTGACACGTGTGCACGTGTCTAAATATTGTCAAAAATGGTTATTCAAGTATCATTTTCCATAAATCTAACACCAAATGTCGATAATCTTTGATGAAAAATATAGCGATTTTTAGTTAAATAAGTTTGAATAATGCATTAGTTATTGCAATCATTTCAGTTATACTGTATCCCTTCTTTTTGTTGGTGCAAGAGCAGGCAGACTAGGTGGAGGGCACGTGATGTTGTGAGAAGAGAGAAGAGAAGGTGTTTTTCGGCTTTATCTTTAAAAAGCTGTCAACACTTTCCATGTGTACCCCATTTCTACCATCACCATACCCTAAAAATCAAAGTGCGTGCCATCTCACTCTTCTGCCCTACACTTTAACTTTACATTTAGAAAAATCGTATTTAAATTTATTACATTATGATGTTGTTAAACTTTATAGTATAGAGCACAAATTCATTGGATGCGATCCACTTGAAATCCCATTACATTACGAAGCAGACAAAGTACGAGAGACAAGAACGAGGTAAAAAAGGAACAACAAATTTATGTTGCAAAAGACTATACTCATCCCATGCCATGCACGGTGGGTAAAGAAAACAGGGGAAATATAAATTTAAAATTAAATAACGGTCATAATATGATCTCATCTCATACAAACAAACAAACGAAAGAAATAGTAACAATAATAAAAATAAATAAATAGTAAATTACAAAGGAAAAGACGAATGGGTCATCATCATCACATACACACACATCAACTGAATAACAAATCATGAATGCAAACACGAATTAAGCTTCCTCTACACTATCTCTCTCCCTCTCCTCTTCTCCGTCAACAGCTAGTTCGTGGGGTTGCTCCGGAACGACCCCAACGCCTTGATAGCCGCTGCTCTCAGTATGTACTGGTGGTATGCCGCCGCCGCCAACGCTCCCACGAACGGTCCAACCCAAAAGATCCACTGCAACCAAACACACCACACATTATCAGTTACAAATCAAAATACCACAACCATGCATACACGTCGGGCTAGATTCTCACATGGTCATCCCAAACTTTGCCATTGTTGTAGATGACAGCAGCTCCGAAGCTCCTGGCCGGGTTAATCCCGGTACCGGTAATGGGTATGGTAGCCAAGTGAACCATGAAAACGGCGAACCCAATGGGCAACGGAGCCAACACCTGCACAACACATTCATTTATTACTAAAAAACCAACACAGACTCATGGTCCGTGAGTGTGGAAAGAGAAAAGAGTGAAGAAGAACGTACGGGGACATGAGAGTCACGCGCGCTTCTCTTGGGGTCGGTGGCAGAGAAAACGGTGTAGACAAGCACAAATGTGCCGATAATCTCGGCACCGAGAGCAGTGCCTTTGGAGTAGCCAGAACTGACGGAGTTGGCACCGCCGCCGAGGGAGTTGTAGGGATGCTTCATGAAGGCCTTCACCAACCCGACGCCGCTGATAGCACCGAGGCACTGTGCTACAATGTAGAGAACGGCACGGATCAACGAGACCTTGCGCGCCAGGAAGAGGCCAAAAGTGACCGCTGGGTTTATGTGTCCACCTGTGTTTGCGTTGATAAGAAGTCAGAAAGCGTAGAAGAGAAAAAAACAAAAAAGAAAGGCAAGCGGTGGGTTGGGTCAGGGTAAGGGAAGGTGTTTACCGGAAATGCCGGCGGTGCAGTAAACGAGAACGAAGATCATGCCACCGAAGGCCCAGGCTATGCCGAGAAGGCCAACGCCGTCACAAGGACCGGTCTGTTTCTTGTGACCGATGACGGTGGCGACGGTGACATAGAGGAAGAGGAGGGTGGCGATGAACTCGGCGATGAGGGCTCTGTAGAAGGACCAGAGCTTGATCTCGGCGAGGTCGATGAGAGGGGCGGGAGGAGGGTCGTAGTAGTCCTTCCTTTGTTGACCCTCTTCGGTGAGTTCTTTGGACATTGTGTCTGTGTGAGAGAGAGAGAGAGAGAGAGAGAGAGAGAAGAAAGAGCAGAGTGTGTTATGTGAAAAGATAGGAAGAGAAAGAAGAAGAAGAGTAAGGGTAAGGTTGGGTTGGTGGGTTATAAGGAAAAGAGAGAGGGGTAATTTGGTAATATTGTAATAAATAGAAGGAAGAAGAAAAAGGAAGAGATGGAAAGAGGGTGTGGGACAGGGTGCAGAGCAGGAGCATGTGAGCGCTAATCATCTAAATGGGTAGCCACAGCACAGAGGTAGGCCTCATCTCATCTTCTTCTGTCAGCCTGGCATGCAATGCGATGCAACCCCTACCACAACGGTCATCTCTCTCTCTCTCTCTCTCTCTCTAATTTATTCTTTTTTTATTCACGCAATTCCAATTCCAATTTCAATTTCACCAAAATGTTCCTCATCATTTCTTCTGCTTTCCACTGTGGTCCCTCTCGTAACGTACAATAACAACAACTTCTTTCACGACCAATCATCCCCACCCACCACCATCTCTTCCTTTCCTTAACGTTCAAAACTAACTCATTTCCATCAACTACAAAACCACCATCTTTTTTCTTAATTAACATACTTTTATTTTTAATTTACGTATATACCACCCTATAAATAATATTTATATGAATACTATTTATATGAATAGCACCCTAAAAAAATGTTAGAATTCGGTTGTTCGGAAATCAAATTCTCATTGAAAATATATACTGAAAATCTTCTATGAATATATAATTCAAATCAAGAGGGTGAATAACCGTGACTATGAATATAACTTAGAATACTTATAACATTAATCTCATCAACCAAAACTAGACAAGATGATTGAGGAATCGAATCAATTGCTTAATGGTTTAGATAATTAACTTTAATGTTGAACGACTTAAAAATAAAATATGATTAATATCAATTGGATTGTAATTAGGTCGTTATTAATCAAAAACCTACTCCAAAATTTATAAACATAAATTTAAAATAAAAAGATAAGTGATCCATATTTCCTATACCATTAATATCTAACCAATCAAATATTAAACTAATTTTAATATTGAACTATTTTCTATAAATATATTTTTAACCATTTGAACAAATGGATACGAAAAAAGAATTAAAATTAAAAATAACTTCAAACCCTTGAGCACTCTACAAAACATTATACAATTGACCTTGAACAATTTTCAAAAACTTTACGAGGTAGCTAATATGACTTCAAGATAATTTTCAATTAAATTATCCATTTAAGTAATTTAAAAAAATAGACTATTTTAATATTTTTTATCATTACATCTGCTTCTTTCTAGCCTAACCAATTATACGTTTATTTAAAATTAACATGCTATTTTTTCTTATCAACTTAAATAACTTTGTTTAGAGGAAGCTAATTAAATTAAAGATTCTTTTCACAAAACACTGTTTGCACTATCCATTACCTGTTACTTCGCAAACTCAGAATTCAGGCCTCCTTAGGATATACTTTCACCACACCGCATCATTACATAATTATTTCAAAACTTCATCATTAGAGTATAATTCCATCATCCGTATTTTTAATTTTCATTACTCGCAAAAAATAAATTTCAAAACTTTAAATCTGCTTTTGTTAAAGTGGTCCCTGTCTAACAAAATTAAATTGTTCCTGTCCACTTTCAGAGTCTATATAATGAAATCATTCGTGCATTCTTTCACCCAACCAAGTTTCACTTGGATAAATTTATTTATATTTTTAGAGTATATTTTTATCGTCACGTGTGTGAATGTAACTTTTTTCCTCATTTATATTGAACTTTTTCTATCCACACGAAACTATATTTACCTTTTACCAAAGTTTGAAACTAAAGCAAGCAATGTGTGGTTGTACTTCAAACCAAAAAGTGTTAAACATGATAAGAAAAATGTTTTTGTGTTGATTAAAGTGTATTGCACATTAGTTATCATTATTTTCTAATTTTTGTTAAAAATTAAAGTGTAAGTCTCAAATCGTTTTTTTATTAATTTTTTAATATTTTGACCGGTCAAATATACCAGTAATGTTAAAAGTAGTATAGAGTGATTTTGTTTTGAAAATGATTATGGCATGGAAGAAGTGTAGAAAAGTGAAAGGTTGAAGCAGTAGAGAGTAACATGACAGAATATTATTATATTATTAAAAGCATATTATACAAAAAGAGTCCAACAAGGATCACTTCATGTGACACTAGCTGGCACACAATAGACACCTGCATGCCATTCTCCACCCAATCACTTATCTGTCGATGCCAAGGAACAAAACAATTTAATTAACAAAGTAAAGTCATTTTAATTAAGTAAAAAGTTAAATAATTTAATTTATTATTGTTGAGTTTTTAAATTATTATTAAGGAAAGCATTCATGATTAACTATATATAAAAGAGAGTTTATACTAATGTCATAAATGAAGCAAATTCGCGCAAATATTTTTTCATCCATACGAGACATTGGTACAACTAAGAAGCAAAGAGAAGTATCTAAGTAGAGCATCTTAAGAATGGTATTAAATTTAAAAATTATATTTTATAAACAAATCATGGGAAGAAGTTGGTGTATCATGTCGTCATGTCATAACGATAAAAAAATTATTGATCAAATCAAATTCTTAAGTGGTTATTCTTTAAATTTAAAATTTGAAATTAAAATAAAAATGTGAATATTTACAACATTCGTTCTTAAAACGAAACTTGCAAGAGTATCATGCTAGCTGTTTAAATAAAAGTAAACGAAACTTGTGAGTTTTCTTTTAGACTTCTGCAACTTAGATGATCTTATGTATATTTTGGGTATGTTAAGTCTTTCCACAAAGATATATACATGAGAAAAATATAAATAAAATAAATAAATAATAATTCCTACATACTAAAACTACTTTGTACACACAATAATTTATAGAAGTTTCTCTTATAATTTAACTTTCTTTTAACTTATATGTAAGCTAATTTTAGCTTATAACTAGTGTCGTATAGTTATTATTTGGTGACATGCAATGTCAACAGCTTATGTAAAAGAAAAAAGAAAAGTTGATGGCAGAGACATGGCATCTTTAAAGAAAGTGCTTAAGGGAGTTGGTTGATGCTAAACATAGTTGTTCGTAACCTTTTACGCATTAGAAAATACGACTCACATTTGTTAAAAAATTTTGGACACAAAAAGTGGAAAAAAAATATATAAGTTATTGAATGAACAAAATAGAAAGAATGTTTAGAACTAAGGTATGGTCTTTGTCACTTTGTAGAAGCAACTGGTATGAGATGTTGATTAAGGTGTGCTCTTTACTTTTGAGCACATGAAAGGATTGAAAGAGATATTCAGTATTCCTTTTCGGACAGCGTACTTGCATGGTGGTTCTTTAGGAAAATATACAGTTGATGTCGTGCAAAATTCCAAACTAATACGACCCCATCTTCAAGCAACCTTATTCTGCTATGCAATGGTGTTGTTTTGCTTGTTTGCTTCTTCCTGGTTTTACTTTGATTTCAATATATGTACACCATGGAAGGCAAGGCATCAAAATCTAACACCAGTTCAATACAAGGACGTTATGTGCGGTCGAAACGTGTCACAATCCAGTTTATCTGCAAGATGTAAAAGAATAGTCAAATTTTGGTTGGGGGGAAAGAACATTTTCTAGCATAAAACAGCAGCATGCAAAGATTATCTTACAATGTTGTTTTCGGGTTTACTCCAATAAAATCCTTGAATAGCAATCACGGCCATGTTTGAAGATACAAGGACAAATATACTCAAAGAGTGTTTTCCCATCCACTCTAACACCGCTGTCAAACGTCTGTAGCCATGAACATCTACCTACATAAGGGTAAATGTATAACGATATAATCATATTGGGCTTCAAAGAGAACATGACACCCTTGATCAGAAAATGGAACTAGCTAGGGGAAAAAATGTATGTTGCAAAACACGATGCATGCGGCAGGAATAATGTAATGGAAGGTAACGACGAACAAAGAACACTTGAGCCAAGAATTAAACTTGATCAATGTAAGCCATTCGGGATGGGATAAAGTGGTCAAAAGTTTGAAAAATTGCAGAGATCATGGGTTTAATCTGCATGCTAACATAGTACCCAATAAATAAAACAGGAATTGTCTCTCTCTGTATAGTTTTCTCTGGTACTCACCAGATAATATAAAGCAATGAATGTGAGACCAGAAGCTGAAGAAGTTAGTAACATATAACTGACGGTGTACAGAGCTTTATTTATTGGAATGCCTGAAAACAAAAGGTAAAAAGGGTAAAAGAAAGATCAATGTAAACTTTCTATGGCATCAACGAACATAGAAAGAAGTTGATTTGATAAAAACCCGAACAAATATGATTATGAAGAGAGAAAACGCGATTTATTATTAGTAAATAACTTCTAGTGTGCGTTCCACGAACAGAAGATTCCCACACACGGTTTACAGCACGGACCTGTTAAGGCCAGGAACAATCCAAGAGCCAAAAGTGAAAGGGAAAAACACATCCAGTTGTATAGGCGCTCTTTGTGGTCCTACAGGACAAGCGTACATAAAAGACAAAGGTCAGTTGACTAAGCACTACCAGATAACCCACCAAGAACCCAAATCTACAATTTACAGTACTTATGTGTAGATGATTCAATGACTAAAACAATCTACAAAGGGACGTGCACTATCAGATCATAGTTAATTTTTAAAGAACTCATCATGAAAACACTAAATTTTACAGCCTATTGAGGTTTGGAAAATTGATGCTGATCTCACCTGCAGGTGGGCAAGAACGTGACCATATTGAAGTCCAATTATGCATGAAACTGCTGCTGTTATGGAGCTGTGAACAAGTGAAGATAATTCCATCACTACGAGTCAATGTAACTCGAATACTAACACAGAACCTACGACCTATATATATAATTTGTTGTTCAATGATTATTTTCTTGTCATACTATCAGTAAAAATCTGTAAAGAACGTGAGAACCAGGAATAAATACGTAGATTATCAGCATCTACAATTTGTTTTATAGAAAACAAACCTACTAGTTTTTT